CCGATGTCCGATATTCAGATTTAAGGCCGATACCGATAGGGGGCCGATTATATCGTGCATCCCTAAGATAAACATCAGCAGGGGTCAGTTGGGCCCTGTACCGGGCCATCTGGGCTTAAGGGGTTTTTAATCTGAAACGTGTTTTAAAAGAAGAATCTTTGCTGCAGTTTATTGAGTCATTTCATTTGTTCTATTGTAGAAGGTAAAAACAATGGAGGCTCCAAGCGCTACAACCGGAAGCGGGAGCCCTCCTTCCCCAAAGCGGAGAGCTTCCCTGGCCCTCGCCGCACCAATTCACAGAAAAGCAAGAATTTCGACAAGAGACCCCCCCAGAGAGGAGGAGGCAGACAGTATGGAGTCACAGGCGGAGGACGCCGTGAGGAGGTTGGTGTTCTGGTTGAACCTGAGGCTCTAAATGGCTTCCAGAGTCTCCAGGTTCCTCTCTGTTAGCATGTTGCTCTGTAGCACCGTCTCTGAGAGTCCCCCCCCCCTGCAGGTAGCAGAGACCCGCCGGGCCGAGTTCAGCCCGGCTCAGTTTGCTGGACCCAAAAAGATCAGCCTGAATCACCTGCTGAACTTCACCTTCGAGCCCCGCGGAGGAACCGACGGCGTCGGAGACGGCGGCCATTCTTACTGGGGCCGCAGAAACAAGTGGGGCCACAAGAACAAGCCGTTCAACAAGGAGCTGTTCCTCCAGGCAAAGTGAGGAGGACGAGGGTGGAGGAGGGTGGAGTCTGCTTCCATTGCCCTACAGCATTCTGAACATCTGTTTTTGTTCCAGCTGCCAGTTTGTGGTGACGGACGACCAGGACTACAAGGCCCACTTCACCGATCCAGACACTCTGGTCAACTGGGACTGCGTGCAGCAGGTGGTGAGTATCAGCCTCCTTCACTCTGCCACCGGGTCTGCATCCAACTAAGGACCGTCCTTCCTGCAGCGCATCTACAGCCACGAGGTGCCGTCCTGCCCCATCTGCCTCTACCCGCCGGTGGCGGCTCGCATCACGCGCTGCGGACACATCTTCTGCTGGCCCTGCATGCTTCACTACCTGTCCCTCAGCGACAAGACCTGGTCCAAGTGTCCCATCTGCTACGAGGCTGTCCACACCGCCGACCTCAAGAGGTGACGCTCCCACACCCTGTGTGTGATTCTGTGTTCCTGTCTAGCTCTCTGAGTGAGGACCATTTTACCAATTTCACCGTCAGATTGAGGATCAGTTGTTGCAAAGAGACGTTTTGTTGGTCCTCAGAAGAAAATGTTGTGAGGAACAAAAAGCTATTTTGCTAATGGTTAGGTTCAGCGCTAAGGTGTCATTTGGGTTAGGATTAAGGGCTGGTTCTCCTCCTGCAGCAGTGTGACGCAAATATTTTTGATTTATGTCCAATATTGAAGCGTGGTCTGTGCTATGTTATTCCACGCCACAACGCCAGAGGGCCAATCAGGAACTAGCTGTGGGTCTAGATACGGCCGAGGCGGTGAGGAAGTGGAGGCAAGTCTGTGCGACGACGGAGGGACATGAGGGCCAAAAAGAGCGGGGGTCCAGGTGGAAAAAGGGTTCCAGCGTTTTTACACACCTCGCTCTGCTAGCTGCTCCATCTTCACACGTCGTTTTCCACAATGGCGGTCAGACAAACAAAACAAACTGCTAAGGTACCAAACAGGAAATACGCATAGAGTAGCGGATGTAGATTGGACCAATCAGAGGCCTCCTGTCTGCGGTCTCCTACAATTTAGAAGAGGTGCAGCAGAGTGTCTGCGGAAAGGGGCGGGACGTCTCTGCGTTCACTGAGACAGCTACGCAGACGGCCTGATTTCGAAGTATAAATCAGCCTTTAGGGTGAGGTGTGCATCGGTAACGGTTCGGGTTCGGCCATAGAAACAACACATGGTCCTCACTATGATTAGCAGAACGAATATGTGTGGGTGTGTTTGGGGTGGAGAGTGGGGCACGTCCAGACGGCGTCAGTGATGGCTGCCTTTGTTTTAGTGTGGTCGCTATGGAAACCAAGCAATATGCAGTTGGGGATGAGGTCACCATGCGTCTGATGAGGAGAGAGAAGGGAGCGCTGGTGGCCATGCCGAGCCGCCAGTGGGTGAAGGTGGAGGAGCCGGTTCGCTTTGGAGGTGAGGAGACCGGCGGGCGGGGGGGGGCTACCGTCAGAAGCTCTTCTGACCGTCGGGTAGATCAGATGGTGGATTATCCGAGGAAGATGACGATGGCGTTCTCTCCTCAGACGCTGCTCTCAGTCCGTACTCCAAGCTGCTGCTGACGTCTCCTTCCCAGGCCTTAAATCTGGTCTCGGAGGAGAAGGGCATCCTGCAGGCCCAGCTGAGCCTGGAGGAGGAGTCTGAAGGCTGCTTCATCCAGAGCGCCCTCTGTCTGCTGCAGGTAGGACTGCATCATGAAAGAGCCGACCTAAGAGCCCGGGTAGAGGAGCTGAGGGCGGCGAGGACCTAACTGTTGGTCTGCTGGTGTTTTATTAAAGGAGCAGGAGGAAACGCTGCTGAAGCAGCAGGGGGTGAAACCAGACGACCCCGACCTGTCCCCTCTGACGCCGACGGCTCCTCCGTCCCCAGTGGACGAGGTGGTGATTACCGCCGTCAGTGCCAAGGTGAGTGCAGACTCTAGCTCTCAGGGAGGCGGAGCCAGATCCGCCAGCTCTAACTCCGCCTCCCTTTCCTCCTCCAGCCCGTGCTGCAGTATTCCTCAGCTTTCGATGACGAGGTGGAGGAGGAAAAGGAGGAGACTGATGACAAGGAGGACATGGCCGCCGAGCCGCCGGGACCCCCTGATGCCGTCCTGGAGAGCGTCCAGGAGGAGCCCCAGGCGGAGGAGGAGAGCCCGGCCAAGCAAGCGGAGCCGAGCCGTTCCTCTGCTGTGGTAGTGAACGGACCGTACTACTACTTCTACCAAGGTGGGTCTGCTTCCCCAGCAGGCAGAGAACCGTTAGCTTTAGCCGTTAGCGTTCTGCTCCAGCAACCATGCTAGTTTAGCTCCAAACTGAGGTGTTCCAGCCTCTGATTGGTCGCAGTAGCAGGAAGTTGAGCTCGGTTTGACGTGCTTTCTCCTCCAGCCGTCGACTGCCAGCAGATGTTCCTGCATCCCGTGAACGTGCGCTGCCTCCTGCGGGAGTACGGCAGCCTGGAGGCCTGCCCCGACTCCATCACCGCCACGGTGGTGGAGATCGTAGGACACACCGTCACCGAGGTCAGCAGACGCTCAGGAACACAGGGAGCCGCTCTCCGCCTGTTCGCTGATGACCTCTGGTTGATTTTTTCCAGGAGATCCGCCGCCGGCACCGCTACCTGGCTCACCTGCCGCTCACCTGCGAGTTCAGCATCTGCGAGCTGGCCCTGCAGCCGCCCGTCCTGTCCAGAGAGACCCTGGACACGTTCGCAGGTTGGAACGCTGCACTCTGCTCTCATGTTGAAGGTTTTCTGGGCGGGTTTCCTCAACCTGTTGCTTCGCCTTTCAGACGACTTGGAGAAGAGGAGGCGTCTGAGGCAGAAGAAGGCGAGGGAGGAGAAGCGCCGCGAGAGGAGGATAGAAATAGAGGAGAACAGGAAGCAGGGCAGATGTGAGTAAAGCGTCTCTGAGCTAAACTGGAAGCAGACGGCGTTCTTCCTCCTCATCGCTCCGCTCTGTCTGTCCCGTCAGATCCGGAGGTCCACATCGGACTGGAGAACCTTCATCACTTCCCAGCCTTTGGTTCTCCTCCGCTCTACGGCAGCCCGCCGGCGCAGACGGACATTTCTCTAGCCCCTCCATCCCCCCTCAGCAGCAGCCCCACCTCTGGTACCAGCAGCTTTTTCTCCTCAGAACTTCTGAAAACGCCTCTTTGTTCTTATGTCGCTCCTGCTCTGTTGCAGACGGGCTGAGGTTCCCGAGCCTCAGCGTGAGCCAGCCTCCTGTGGGGAGCCTGGAGGACGAGTCGCTCTGCATGTCCTTCGCTCAGGTACGGAGCCAGCATGGTGCTCAGCAGTTAGCACGACCCGTCCTGGTCTGCCTGTTAACTCCCTGCTCTCTGTCCAGATGCTGAGGGATGGGAAAGCCAGAGCTGATGCTGGACCCCGGACCGCCTCAAAGAAAGGTACTGCTGGCTCTGAACCTGGGGAGGTAGACGTCTCCTCCAGACGTAGCTGAATCATTAGCCTCATTTATGCTAGCCTTTTGAAACCGTGCCGAGAAGGATAACCGAGATAACCGTTGATTTTTTTAACTGCTATGTTCACATCTATTTGAGCTGGGAAAAAAGCTTCTGCTGCTTCATTTCTGCTGCTCGTCCTCATTAAGGTCAGACGTCCATTAAAGTCCAGATGTTTCTGCTGCTCCTGTGTTCAACGCCAGAGAGCAGCTTTGCTATATTAGCTGTGATCAGTGAATAAATAATAGTTTGAATATGTTTTTAAATGACAAATTCTACCTAAAAACATGGTCTGTGCAGTCAGTTCATATTTGCTACTTTTTTCTTATTTTTGTATGGTTTAGTTTTGTAAATTTGCGTGTTTATTCTCGTAAATATGCCATTTTATGATGCTTGTACCAGTTTAGTTCAGATGCGCGGCTGAAGCATCTTTGCTGCTCTAGCTGCGTGGTGTGAAAAGTGGCTCTGATGCGCGGTGGGCGGAGCTACCCTATCCTTTCTCTGCCTGGAACAATGGCAGCTATATTAGCTGTGATAAGTGGGTAGAAAGTAGTTAGAATCTATGTTGAAGTGAGAAAGTCCTCCTGAAAACATGGTCTGTGCAGTCAGTTCATCCAGATTACCATCCTGCCTTATTTCTCTGTGGGAGCCGCTGACTCCCTGCCAGCTCCCAGATCAGCTGCTCTGATTGGTTGATGCGGCGCATCCAGCAGAAAAAGTTAAATTTTCCAACGCCACCAACAAAATCAGCTGAATGAGGGATTGCTGAAGAGTCAATGAGTCGATGCAATCAGCTGGTTTTCCTTAGATAGAAACTTTGAATCAATCTGACTGGATTGCAGCTGAATTAAAAATTGAATTGAAATTAAATATGATTCAAGAAATTGAAAGAAACCAACTTCAGGTGTCTAGAGAAGGGGGGTCCAAGTCCAGTCCTCCAGAGCTACCATCCTGTAACTTTTAGATGCATCTCTTCTCTAACAAACATGAATCAATCTCCTCATTGAGCCCAGCAGAGGGAAGCTAAACAGCCACTCATTTGATTGAGGTGTGTTAAAAATGGGGTGCATCAAAAGGTTGCAGAATAGTAGCTCTTCAGGACTGGACTTGATCACAGCTGGTCTAGAGAATCCTAGAGAGCAGCAGTACCGTAGATCACCACTAGGAGGCGAGGAACCACGCTAGCGTGGTATGTAAAAGCTCGTAAGGAACCGAGCTTGGATCAGTTAACCGTGCTGAGTTCGGTTCCGTACGAGCGTTTGCACACCAGGCTAGCACGGTTAGCATGAGTCCGAACTGATCGGTTTCAGGAGGTTAGTGTAAACGGGGCTAGGGGAACCGCCTCTCTGCTGCAACAGCAGAGACAGGAACCAGAACCCCGTATCAAAGGGCGGTGCTGGTTGATGATCATTAAATGAAATATATAACTGTAGTTTGGGTTCAGTTGGAAATGATAGAATCCTTTATTTTAGTTCATTATGTCTATTCAGTGTTGATCTTTCTCCTACCACCTGGATCAAAGCATTACCTAATATGGAAATGATGCGATACCGCCACCTAGCAGCTTCTAGGCCCCAATCATAAATATTTCCATATGTATTTGGAGGCGGCGTCCATCTTGGATAGGGCAGTTTCTGTGTCCCATGTTTGAATACACATTGATGTAGTGGTTTGGTTTTATTTACATAAAGAAAATAGGAATTTCAGCCTTTTTGTGAGATCAAAACCAAAAAAAGAAAAAAAAAGCTTTGGGTTAAATCAGATCCCATCCGTGGTTAACGGTGAGAGGCTATGGGGGAGGGGTACAGTTCATGATGACTTGTTTAGACCAGCTTCACCATTAAAACCTCAGAACAGAACCCTCCTATACCTCCCTGCACCAGTTTGAGGGTCCTGAATATAATAATGCTGCCACCGCCGTGCTTTAAAAGGAAGATGTTTAAAAAGCAAAAAAAAATGCTTCAGCTGGTTTATACTGGGATCACACTGCAAAAAAAATTCAATCTAAATAAGTCATTTTCGCTTTAAATAAGTTCATATTCTATTGAATTGAGGAGGGAAATGAGACGGTTTGCCGATGGAACAAGACAGTTACTTTGTCTTTTTTTTTAGTGCAAATTATCTAATTATCTCATTTTAAGAGTAAAACATCTTATTTACCTACTCAAATTAGGGTTAAAAACACTTAATTTAAGATATATTTACTTATTTCTGGATGAAATCTGATGGTTCCATGTCTACTGAGGGCGTCCTGGTCCAGGTTCTGGGGCCGTTCTCTGCTTCCTGATCAACTTCACTGTTTCTGTGGTTTTCAGAGCATCTGCTGGCCCCCCCGGCAGCAGACAGCGACGGTGAGAGCGACGGGTCTGATCGGGTTCCTGTGCCCAGCTTCCAGAACTCCTTCAGCCAGGCTTTTGAGAAGGCCCTCCTGCAGCTGGACAGCGGCCCTGCTGCCCCCCCCCAGCCTGCAGTGGAACCAGGTCAGAAACGGTCAAACCCACTGGTCTCTATTTATTCACTGGATTGCTGATTGGCCAAGAAAAAGTGAATCCGTCATGTTGGTACTCCCCACTCCCACAGAGACGCGCACTAAAAATGCCTCCCTGTGCAGCATTTGACTGTAAAAAAAAAAAAAAAAAAAAAGCAGTTTTCTGGCTGCAGGAAGACGATCCACGGGAAATTTCACAGTCAGTGGATGAAATAACCTAGAAAAAAAATAAAAAATGATAAAATATATATATATATATATAAATTAAGTGTGTTTATGTGTAGGTATGTTGCATGCATTACCAGACGTTTAAGTTGTAATGACCATAACTATGTCATAAATCCATTTCTATCACATGTTCATCATCAATTTAGCACTTTGGGTTTATTTTTAATATTCTGCTCTATTAACATGATGGATTTATATAATATTTTATATTACATGATTTATAGGCTTCATTGACATCATAATGACTCTGCAACATGATGGGCCTATTTATTTATTCTAAGTTAAAGTTCATCTACTGATGCTATGAAACAGCCGTTCTGTGTCAAAGTGATGAATTTATCTTTATTTTAAAAGTCTTAAGTCCCTGAAAATGAGAACATCATGGTTTTTCGATGCTGTAGAGCACAGATTGTTTACATTGCAACAGAGTAGGGAGTACCAATATGGCGGCCGGTGGCTTCACTTCAACCCCGTCCTACTAACGGGCAATCCAGTGAATAGAGATCAGTGGTCAAAACGCGTAGAGTTCTAATCCGATAGCGGCTCATCTGAACTGTTTCCTGTCTCGTTTCAGACGAGAAAGGAGGAAAGAAGAAGAAGAAGAAGCAGAAACTGCTGTTCAGTACATCCATGGTTCACACCAAGTAGAACACAGCTTGCTAGATTTGTTTTGTCCCCTTCCAGCTTTCAGAGTGGGTTCCACCGTGAAGCCAAAGGTCCCGCATCCTCAGACCGATGATGCGCATCATTCAGGGTCACCTGCAGACCCGATGCCACGTTAACCACTAACATAGATCCAGCTTCTTCGTCTCCTCCATGACTCCGCCCACAGCTTCCAGGACGCATTAACAGCTGAAGGTGCTTCATACCACAGTAGCAGTCAGCCAGCTGCATGTGTGATGCACCTGAAATCATTCTGACAATCTACGTCACTAATAAACCTTCATGCTTAGCTGGAGCTGTTAGCATTTTACTGATCGCTAGACATCTAGCCCCGCCATGAGAAATCTATTATTTCACCTCAGAAAACAGTATTGTCGACTAAAAAAAACGTTCTGGTTGCTCTCTGAAACATCTTAAACATGCACTTTCTTTCATTCAGCTAATCACGCTTTATTTTCTGATTGGGAATGTTTACTTTGACTTTATCCCCAGTTTGTTGGTTTTTGGCCCTTTTTTCTTTTTGAGTGTTTTAGGTTGTGTGGAGCTGGAGGTTGAACTCTTGCTTTGAAACGTAAAGAAAAAAAGTGGATTGGATATTTTAGTTTGAGGGTTCTTCAATTCACTTGTATTTTTGAGCAGGTTTATGGGCTGATGGCATAATTAGTATGTTGAAACAAATAAAGATTTATGCACAAATGTTCGGATTCATTCATGGGTGTAGTTTCTGCTTTGCTCCACATGGTGGCAGTGTTACGCTGCCTTAAACGGATCTTAAGTTGGAATTTTTTTTAAATTATCTTTAATAGAAATTGTTTGTTTTTTTGTTTTTTTTTATCATTTTTCTCCAGAAAGCTTAAATATATTTATAGCTTCATGTGAGGAGTTGGTGTTTCATGTTTAAGGTTTGTTTAGACTTTGATGTCTGTCAAGTTATTCATTTCTAGCATATAATAAAAAAACGGAAGTACAATGAAAACAATTATGCAAACTCTTTTGACATTTACTGAATCATATTTATTTAGTTTAACAATTGTTTTTTTTGTCCTACCCTGCTAACATGAAACCATTGTGTTAAAGTGACAAAAGGTGATTAAGTAAATGCCAAAAACGGTTGTATTATTTTTTTTCAGTGTAAGAAACAAACCCATAGGGTTAGGATCACTTGATGGTGAGTCCTTCCTGCTATGTTGAGGTATATATAGATATAGCGATCTATTTATAGATCTATATATGGGTCTAGAGAGAGAGAAAATAAAAAATGAACTTAATTGATCTCAAAAAGGAGAAATCCACCTCTACATTTAACCCATTCCCCTTGGGGAGCAGTGTGGGCTCAAAGGTCTTGCTCAGAGTTCAGGCTGTGGGGATAGAAGGACGGGGTACTTTATACAAATATATAAAGTATAAATATATACTGCTACATATTGTTACTCAGTGGCGCAGTGGGTAACACTGCTGCCTTGCAGCAAGAAGGCTCCAGGACAGCACCAACAGTCGGGGACCTGTGAGGCGTCTGTTTTTCAAACTAGAGACTCTAATGTACTTATCTTCTTGCTCAGTTGGGCAACGCGGCCTCCCACTTCTTTTTCTACTCTGGTTAGAGCCTGTTTGTGCTGTCCTCTGAAGGGAGTAGTACACAC